CATGTCATATTTTACTCTAAAACGTTTAGTTGCAAGGTATGACTTTAGTAGTGTGTAATATGTTTAGAGGTAAACAACTTCTCAGCTTGTAGAGCAACCTCTGGTGCCATACCTTGTTAAACGTTGTATGCCTATGAACAGGGCGGAACAATATCTGGATGCCTATAGGTCTTTATGAATTCTGTTAACGATTCGATGTACTTGCTGAACGGTGAAATATTTCTGCCTGAATCCAACTTGATAAGTTGAAATTATTCCCTTGCCTCCTAGAAGAGGGGTTAGTCTTGTTAGTAAAAGTTTTTCGAACACTTTGCAGAGCACTGCTAGTAGAGTAAGAGTCGGAATGATTCCATTCTTTCACGTAGTTTACTTTATTTTAAAATGGGTGTTATTTCAGCTACTTTCCATTGTGATGGGAACTAGCTGATTTTCATGATTAAACTGAATAATTGTGTTAGATTTGTATATCCTTTTTCCGGAAGCTCTTGTAATATTTGTTCTGTGATGGGGTCGTACCCTGTGGCTTTTTGGGATTGGTATTGAATTTAATTGTGGTTTTTGTTTCACTTTTTTTAATCTTTTTTTCTGGTAATTCTAGCTGGTATGATTCTTCAAGTACTCGGTTTATTATTTTCTCGCGGTTGGGGTCTGTTGTTTCATTAAGAATGAAAAAAATTCTTAGATGGTTTGCAAATATCTCTGGTTTTTATTTTGAACATTTTAACCATCGCCTTGTTCTTTTTTTTAAAGGTGTTATTATTGTACTGGGGTCTTTTTAATTTTTTAGTAGCCTTCTATAGGAAGTAGTTTGTTTGTTTAGTTGTACCAAGTTGTTTTATGTATTCACTTAATTGTAGATTCTTTTCTGTCGCTATCATTTATTTTAGCTAGTTTACAGAATTGTTTAGCTGCGTTTTTGTTTGTGGCGATCTAGTTTCTTGCCACTGTTTCCTGAGATTTCTTTTCTGGGGTCTTATAATTAATTGATTTTTTATTTTTGTTATGTGGTAAATTTGAGAAATAATATTTTTTATAGTTCATTTCCATTTCCAAGATCTTGACATCAGACAAATTAAATGTGGGGCCTGTTATGTTGGAATGGTGTGCTACTACACAAGAATTTTTCTCTGTTTTTGCAATCACGTTTGTGCTGCATTATTCTTTGTTTGCGATGTTTTTCCTATGTACTGCTTATCACATTCGAGACAAGAAAGTTGGTTAAAGATATTACTCTGATTTAGAAGCGATATATGATGTTTAAACTTCGAGAATAAGCTGAAAATTGGCTATGCTGTTATATTTAGCTATTATGATTTTAGGAATTCTATTCAGCAGCTTGATAATATTGTTGACGTATTGTTGGGGTATTGTTGGTTAAGCAATTTACGTAGAATTGTAAGAAACTAAAAATAGCTAGTTGGCCCTAGCGACACATGTAAAAAAAGATCGAAATTAGTGCTGCCTTGTTCGTCATAGAATATTTGTCGGTCTGACATAATTTGCTTTATAAAATAAGACACAACATTTTGTAAGTTATAAAATTGTGAATGTTATGTTTGTATCTAATTGTTAAGTAATTGTGTTATATGTTCCTGATGAAGTTGAAAAAATAAAGTTAACGAAATATTGAACTGATAAAATAAATTTAGTTTTAATTTAAGTCATTGATCGCAGTCCCAGATATTTTCACATCATCTTTTCATTGACTGTGAGAGTGCCTATTATAGCATCCATTGAGAATTTATGATCTATGCACTGAAAGAGTTTAATATTCCAACTCAACTCATTGATATCGTAAAAGAAACACTTAAAGTACAAAGCAAAATTCGAACTCAAAACGAACTAACAGATACAATCCATGTGAGAACGGGCCTACGACAAGGAGATGCCATATCCTGTATTTTATTCAATATCACATTAGAGAAAATAATTAGGGAGTCAAAAGTCAACACCAGTGGAACAATAATAACAAAAAGTGTACAAATATTGGCATTTGCAGATGATGTTGATATCATAGCTAGAAGCGAAAGAGAGATGATAGAAGCGTTTAATGTGATAGAAAGAGCGGCACAAAACAATGGTCTAAACATTAACGAAATAAAAACCAAATACATGAAGGCCAGTAAATCAAAAGGCCAAAGAAACCTACAGAATCTGACAATACGAGACTATAACATCGAAAGCGTGATAAGTTTTACATATCTAGGTTACATCACTAGTTACCGCAGATACCAATATCAGTGAAGAAGTTAAGAGAAGAATACATATCGCTAATAAAACATATAATGGACTAATTAAACATCTAAGATCTAACAACATCACAAGAAAAACCAAATGCAAAATATACAAGATCCTGATAAAACCGATCCTTGTATATGGATCAGAGACGTGGACACTGTCGAAAAGGGATGATAGCCTATTAGGTACATTCGAACGAAAAATCCTTAGACACATACCTACATAAGGGGATAAAGGAAAATGGCATATGGCGCAGAAGATATAACTTTGGTATATATGAATCTTAAATATGAATGTTATGAACGTTCAAAATATAACAAAAACCAAATGGATGTTAGTAAGCAAAACCCAACAACCACCACAGCAACTGATATTAGACAATGAAAGAATTGAACACGTGGATTCGTATATCTACTTGGGAACAACAGTTAACTCAAATTGAGATCAAGCGAAAGAAATACGTATAAGAGTAGAAAAGGCAAGAGCATCGTTCACTAGCATGAAGCAAATTTTCACCTCTAAAAGCCTCACCTTACCTCTCAAAATTCGACTTCTGAAATGTTACGTATTCCCGGTTTTGTTATATGGAATGGAGGCGTGGACAATGACCGCAATATTGATGAAAAAAGTAGAGGCCTTCGGAATGTGGGCTTACCGACGTATATTACGTATATCCTGGACTGAGCACGTGACCAACGAAGAGGTACTACGCCGGATAGGTAAAGAGAGAGAGGTAGGAAATAAGTATAAAGAAAAGAAAGTTGGAATACTTGAATCATGTTATGAGACATAATAAATATAGAGTACTACAGCTGATCTTTCAAAGGAAAATAGACAGCAGAAGGGGTCCAGGGAGGAAAAGACACTCGTGGCTCCAAAACTTGCGGCAATGGTTCCGATTGTCATCTGCTGAACTATTCAGATCTGCCGTAAACAAAGTCAGAATAGCCATGTTGATTGCCAACGTTCGGAACGGACAAGGCACATGAAGAAGAAGATGAACGTTATATGTATGATATCTGAAAACACTTAAGATTACCAACTGGAAAAACAAAGCAAAGAACAGAACAGAATGGCGGAAAATCCTAGAAAAAGCCAGGAACCAGAAAGGGTTGTCGAGCTACTGATAATGATGAACCCACTTGCAATAATCATATCTATTAACGAGCATCCTATTGGAATGGGTAAAAAAAAACATATACCTTGGCTGCCTAATCACCAATACACTTGATCCAGATCAAGAGATAAAAAAGCCCGAAACGATTTCTAAGAATACGACCGTTCTTTGTAAATTGTTTTAAACTTACATTGCAATACAGCATGGTGAAATATTGTGTATATAGCACCCTGCTATATGGCATGAAAGCGTGGAAAAGTTAGTACAATCAGAAAAATGAAAAGCTTTGAGATGTAGATATTTCGCGTCATGCTGAAGATTCCTTAGATCGTCCAAGTCAGAAACAAACAAGAGAACAGATGAACATTGATCGAGAATTGCTAGACATAGTGAAAAAAGCAAAAAACCAATTTATCTTGGCCACATACTTAGGCACGATGGATATAACTTCGTGTAACTGATAATAAAAGACAAGATTGAGTGCAAGCGTGATCATGCTAGGCGGCAATTAACATGGCTAAGAAATATCAAAATATCACAGAATGGATTGGCTTCGACTTCCAGTCACTAACAAGAAAAATGCCAGATAGAGAAGAATTTTTAGAACTCATTGCTAACCTTTGTTAGAAGAGTGCGCCAAAAAAAACGTTTTTAGGTTATCACCTTTATATTTTGCATTAAGTGAAAGACTATTTTTAACTTCTACCTTTCTTGTAATTAGATGTAGATTTTGATCATAATGATTAAAATCATTCTGTGTCTAATGCCTTGGTTTAATAATTTTGTTTATATGGTTGTTATGTTATCCCTGTTTGATATTAACACTTGTCTTCTTAGAATATTCTCTTAATTTCTGAAATTCGGCAAAATTCTGACAAAAAATTTTCTCCTATGCGGCTCTCGATAAGGATTGGAGTAAGTGTCGACTAACTGATGTTTTTCATCCATACACAGCTTGATGTTTTTTCTTTATTTCTCTTCCAGGACTTCCTAGACTAAGGAATGTGTTCAATAACACATATAGAGAACACATCATCTACATAATATCTTTATCATCCTTTGATTTTTTTTTTAACCAAAATTTTGTTTATCTTCTTCTTTAGAATTAGAATTAGCTGAATAATATTAGAATTAGCTGATAATCAAAACTTGGTAAAATATGATTTCGATTAAATTTAATTTGTGATAGTTTATTTAAAAAATCGTATAATATCTCAGTGATTGGCTACATTCTGTAGTTTTAAAAAACTTACGTTTTAGTAAACTTTTCTGATGGAAATGATATATTTAAATCAATAATAAAAACAATTTATTAAAAAATCCATAAGAATTACAACTTTCATCGATTTTGTCTTATGATAATGGTGTAATAAGATCGAAAATATTCTGATGAAAATTGTAATTATTTTGGACATTTTAATTATTTTAGTAATTGTATAAATATACCATTTACACCAGAAGTGTTTACTTCATTCTATTTTTTTATTTTAATTTCCTGTGTATTCCTTATAAAAGTGTCATTATTGTTAATTTTAGAAAATAATTGCTTAAAAAAATATTTTTTATATATTTATATATTCTAGAACCGTCTTAACAATATGTTTTTAAGTATGATCTATAAATAATGTTACAATAAAGTACGTACCAACAACATCCCTTCCTGGTCCAACATCTAAAGCATTCCAACTGTAGGAATATTTTGATGGCCATAAACAATACCCCTCATGATGCTTACTAGTTAAAACGATGTATCTAAAAATTAAACATTTATTGTAACGTAAAAATAAGTCAAAATCAATTCATATTTTAAAAATACTTAATAAAACACATTAGTGATGATTGGAAATGGGGTTCTGATTAAAAGTCTAATAGACAAAATACGTATAGAGCAGGATTCTCTACAAAAAACTGCACTGTATTATCTCGTACAGACAATATACGTATAGAGGCAGGATTCTCTACAAAAACTGCACTGTATTATCTCGTACAGAGGGTGGAAAACCAAAGAGGTGATGAATGTATTTCTTGATATAGACATATCATTTAAAAATACATCATCCTACGAAGTAATCACAAGGCCGGTTAATGGCACGTCTCGTAAAACAGGAAAACAAACAATACAGAAATATTTTTATAAAGTGAAACTGGAACAAACATGAAGTGGAGATATCCAGGAGTGGCTAGTATACCTGTTGTAATACAAAGCACGTGGTGTTCGTGTGTATTAAGGTATAAAAAAGCGCTTATTAAAGCTTAAAAATTTTATTTTAAAGAAGATCTTTTCGGAATTGTATCATTCCATCATCAGTTTAATAAAAAGTTGTTGTATGGCACATAAAAAACATTGGATGGACATCCGGATTTAAAAAGTAATCTTCATGGTATTTATTAAGGTAAATGCAATAGACTCTTAAATTGTGTATTAATAAAAAATGAAAAATGGGGGCATCTTATATGACCCCCTGTAGCTGGTGAGGTTTTATCGACTTACATTACCTCTAACCTGTATTGGAGTCTAGGGCTAACTAACTAATGTTAGTTTCTTATAGTAAGTGTTCAAATTATGCTCCATCTACTACCTGACCGTAATGCGTCCTATTTCTAAACTCTTGCCGTACTCGTTCAAATGTGTCGGGGGAAGTTGCCCTACATTCTACTTTTCACAATATTAATATTGTCGGGTGCTGTAGCGTAAACTTTAGATTTTAAGTATTCCCTCAGAAAAAATCTAATGATGTTAGGTCCGGTGACCGAGCTGGCTATTCTATAGTACCTTGTCGTCCAATCCATCTACCACGATATTCCCCATCTAGGTAACATTTTACTGCACCGTAATGGTGTGCAGGACCATCATCTTGTTGAAAAATTATTTCCAAGTTGCCGAATTATTATCCTCCAGAATTTCAAGTATTAACGGCTCAATTACATTTTGTAAAATCTCCAAATACACCTCACCGGTTAAGTTAGTATTAATGATAAAAAGAGGCCAGACTTTGTGATTTCCCAAAATACTACCTAAACATATATGTTTTTGCAAATTGAGTATGTATTTCACGAAAGACCTGAGGATTTGTGTCACTCCAATAACTTACATTGTGTGTGTTAACATTTCCATTGAAAGAAACAGTTCTTTGGTCACTGAAAACAAATTGTTTTTTATGTAATCGGGATGTTGGTTAATTTTATTGGACATATTTTCACAGAATTATAGGTTTCGGTCGGAGTCATCATCTGAAAGTTGTTACACAATATTTAATTTGTGTGGATGAAATTTGTTTTCAGCCAACACTCTATGCACTGTGTTTTGACTGATTTCATAGATAGATGCAACTTGGGCTGTAGAGGAACTAGGATTCACTACCATTTCTAAATTATGTCAATTTTTGTGTCATCACCAATTGTTGCTCGACCAGATCGTGTGACATCTTGAACACTATAAACTTCCGAAGAAGCTTCCGACATAAGCTCTCGATGTAGGGAGATTGGAGTACCTCTCATTAAAAAGATGTTCTGCTGCATGGAAATTATTATTTCCCCATTCACCAATTATTAACACAGCTGCTACTTTGTCGGCTACAGTACGTACCATTCTGCCTTTGTTAAAATTTAAACGTTTTGTTCAACAATGATTAAACTAAATATTTAATAAGAACAACTAACTAAAAACAACTTGACTAAACTTGAATTGACTAAACTAATCAGAAACAGAAACTTAGGGCCGATTGTTCAAACGCTAATCAAAACTTGATTGTAATCAAATATTTAATTACAATCAAATATGTCACGGCAGCTGTCAAAATTATTACAAATTTCTTATTATTATTATTATTATTGATTTGTAAATAAAAACTTGAAATTAACATCAGAAATTGTTTAATTATGGTTTATTTTAAATTATAACACAAAATAATAAAATTGAATAAAATAAATCAGTCAACATAACCTCAAAATTTAACGTATTTGATTTAATTAAATATTTTATTCCAATCAAGTTTTGATTATTATGGTTCAAACAATTGGGCCTAATATTGAGCTATAAACGCTTTTGCAAACTAAAAACAACTAGAGATTTGACAAACGTCAAATTTTTGACAAATAATCAAACGCGGACATTAGAATTTTTATTAATTAAATGCCAAACTAGAATTTTAGTATTTATTTAGTTTATTCGTCAAAATCATCTTAAATCAAAACAAAATTAGTATGATTGAATAAGTATATTAAGATACATAGTTGTAGTTTCGCATTTAATTAATAAATACTCTAACGTTCGCCTCTGGTTAATTGTCAACAAGTGGACGTTGACGTAAAAACAATTAGAAAATTGAAAAACGTCAAATTTTTGACAAGTAACCAGTGGCGGAGGTTTTAATAATTATTAACGAAATGCGAAACTACAATTTTAGTATTTATAAATTTATTTATTAAAATAATCTTAAACATAAATAAAATTAGTATGGTTGAATAGGTATTTTCAATAACTTTCAAACGAGGTATCACTAGCCATAAGATCGTATTTCAAATTATCTGTCACAGTGGCGCTGTAACGTCATCTGTCACTATTACTTCACTTTAGACTAATTAAGAAGCCTACGTCTGTTTATTACTTCCCTCTAAATTTTATTATTATAAGTGTAACCGTTCAAAAGATACGAGGGGGAACGGACTGTTGACTAGCACTGTATTATGAGAATTATTATAGTGCCAAAATTAGGAACTTTCATATGTAACTTCATAATATGTCACTTCAATTAATAGATACTGTATATTCATATATTTTATATAAAATGTTATCCATTTTATTTATGGTCACTACTACACTTTTTTATACTTACTTTGCTCCAGAATTAGCAAAAATCTCTGCCCATTCGTTGGGATCGTAAAATTCAGCTGTAAAGTCCTTTGCAAAATTTGGGTACTTCCAGTTTGGAGGATAATAATTTTTTAAGTAATTTGTTATATCATAATCTCCCCCTAAAATAAATTATTTTTTAAAGGTAATTAATATTTCTTATAATTTAAATAAACGAGACATTCGACTAATAGCAAATATGTACTACAATCAGAAAGCAGTAGTAAGAGTAGAGAATAATACCACTGAAGAAATAAAGCGAGGTGTGAGACAAGGGTGTATACTGTCACCAACCCTGTTTAATCTCTATTCCTAAGACGTAATGAATAGAACACTCTCTGAGCAATCCGTAGGTATTAAAATAAATGGTGTTAGATTAAACAATCTGAGATTTGCCGTACGACACCGTTCTGATCGCAGAAACACTTGAAGAGCTACAGACATTGGTGAATAAGATAGCAGACTGCAGCGAAGAATATGGACTATCTTTGAACACAAAGAAAATTAAATTTATGGTAATATCGAAATCAACACAAAATGTTCAAAATTTATATTTACATAATGAAATTATCGATCTAGTTAGCAAATACAAATATTTAGGCACTTTTATAAATAAAGACAACGATAGCTCAGCAGAAAACAAAATAAGAATAGAAAAAGCCAGATCCATATTCACTAAAATGAAGAGAGTGATACTGCGGAAGAGATTTCAGCCTTGAAATGAAACTTCGCCTGATGAGATGTTACGTAATTTCTGTGCTGTTCTACGGAATGGAGTCATGGACGTTGAAAAAGATTGATATCAAAAAATTAGAGGCATTTGAACTGTGAATGTATCGCAGAATCCTGAGAATATCATGGACCGAAGCATCGTCCATGGAACCCACGAGTGCAAGATGGGAGAAGGAAATACCTATCAGAATGTATCCACGCAATGGGGCTTACCCTTTTAAATGACGGTAAGGTACCTACATTCGGGAGAGGTAAGAGTGAATCCTTTTTAGACATCATACTGGCTTCAAACAAATTTCTAAACAGGGTCGTAAGCTGGACTGTTTTGGAAGAAGAATTGCTTAGCTTACACAAGTATGTGAGTTTTGAAATAATTGAAGTAGTTGTGAGTCGCAAATGTCGAGGTCTTGAAAAGAATGAATAAAGAAAAGGAAGTCATATTTACGATCAAAACACGAAAACTGCAATACTTGGGACACATTACAAGAGGCGAAAGATATGAACTGCTTCGAATAATTATGCAAGGAAAAAAGGTCCATAGGAAGAAGACGAAACTCCTGGCTAAAGTATCTACGGGAATGGTATAGCTTTAGCAACAACGAATTGTTTCGGTCAGCAGTTTCGAAAATACGTATAGCCCTGATGATCACCAACCTTCGGAACGAAGATGGCACTTGAAGAAGAAGAAGAATATTTCTTTCTACTGAATGTACCATTGCATATATCTAAAACTGCTGCGTAAACAAAGTTGTAGAACAATATTTGCGAAAAAATAGGGAAAATTACTCAAAAATGGTGTGAGTGGTGAACTTAAAAAAATCGAATCTCAAATATTGTGAGTTATAAAGACTTCTATCAAACGTCACTTTTTATGGTAGTCATTTTGAAGAAGAAGGATAGAAAAAAAATTTCTGTGAATCAATGCCTATTCTTATACTCCCGTGGAGAGAAGTTATGGGACAAAAATGAAAAATCCCGTGTTTCCGTGTTTTTTTATTGGCTCTTTTTTGAATATATTTTTGTCAAAAAAATATGTTTAACTTTAAAAGGTAAAATTTAGATAGGAAATTTAATTTTGAACAACTTTCCTGTACATGTATATTAACGAAAAGTGCGTATAATTCACTCACATGTACTCTAGTACATAGGGACTTATTCATCCTTTTCTCAAAAAAAGCACCCTCTAAATTTTCATATTTGGGAGTTCATTGAGCTTATAAAATACTACAACCATTTAAAGAAGAAATTCCTTCCTAAAATATATAATCAATAGCCTACAGTCAAATTAGTCGAGTTCATTAGTTGCCGCAAAAATGTATCGCTGGTGCGAATAACCAACTTTAAAATTCGTATAGAATAAGAACGTCTAGAACTGTTTGTAATTATGTTACTGAAGGACTCGCATTTCTTAACACGTTGCATGCTAATCACGCCTATGAGCGTCAAGATATCGCTTCAGTCATATGCTGATGACGCACATGTGAGTTTTCAAGATACCTATGTTTTGTATTGTCTAGCATAAATACCCTTGTGTATAAAAGTTTACTTTTTGGAAAAGTTTGTAGAGAAAACTATCTGTTAACCTATTTATCAAGCAGTTCTCAAAAACATTTTCTACCTTTCCTTCTACTACCAATAGTTCCATAGTTTCCGTTCTTATGGCTGAAGTAATTTAGGTATTCTCGGTTTACTTTTTTTATTAGCCTGTCGTTTATATGAAGCTGTTCCAGAAGTGACAGGTTGGTCCTGTGTTTTGTCCAGAATACTTCCTCCACAAAAGCGCAGACGGCCACGGCATTTTTATATACATAATGACAAATACTCTGTCTATGTCCCTTATTATTTCTTTTTCTCCTTTTAGAATGTTTCCATTACCTTCTTCAATTTCACTTGTGTTTCGGTAATTTCTTCTCGGGTGCCGTATTGAATCAAATTATTTTCGATTTGCTTCGTAAATTGGGGTTAAAAAATAATATTGTTTCTGGTAAAATTATTAAAAAAAAGCAGTAGAAATTTCAAGTGAACTAAGCATTGATATGAAGGCTTCTAGTTCTTCTAGGCTTGAGAAATTTTGAAAGCGACAAAATAGTTGCTTCAAATTTGTATATGACAAAACAGCTGCTGAAAATTACTTAGTGGTTTCTGATTGAAAGGAAAAACTGCTCAATTTATTGAAGCGATACTCACGGCTAGATATTTTAACGCAGATGAGTCGGGATTATTTTTATTTCGACGAAAGCATTATCTAACATAACTTATGCCCTAAGAGAAGAAATGAGCACTGCAAGTAAGGCTTCCAAAGATGGACTCACAATAATTCTGTTTTGCACCAACACTATAAAAATAAAAAACAAAGAAAAGCCACGGTAATCAAAAAAGAAAATCTTTTCTCCAAGTACAAAAACTAATTCATAAAATTATTTAAATTTAGATTCTGTATTATCTTTATTTTGCCATATCAAATTTATTAAATTAATATATTTTCTAAATTTAAATTAACCTTATTCTATTTTTTGCTATTAGACTTTTTTATTTTGGATTTATATTATTAGAAAAGATAATGCTGATTATCACAGTCAACAACCGAAATCCGTATCTATCTATTACAATAATTGTATTATTTTATTTATTTATTAAAACCTATTACAGAATTCCGTACCTCCATAATAGGTTGCCATGCTTTTTAGTTGTCAAACTATCAAACTATTGACGTTTGTTAAAATAAATGCAAATAATAATTCACATTGTAAAAGATCGAATTCGTGTGGTAAAATGAATGCAAATAATTCAAACTGTAAAAGATCAAAATATAGTACTGATCAATTATATAATATATTAAATAATAATTCATCTAGTGAAGATGAATTCAGTGAATCCAATAATAGTGTAGTTCTGTCAGATGAAGACACAGGTATGTTTATTATAAAGTACAGATATGATTCCAATACGAGATTTGAGAAATGAATTCAAAATTATATCATAACTTCATTTGTATACATGTTTTGAAATGTTTATTTCTAATTTCAACCTTTTAGAATATTATCAACAGAATTATTTTGCAGCATTATATTTTCTTGTACAATTGCTTTTTCTTTTTTTAGATTTTGAAGAAGAAAATGATTATTCTGGATTGGTTGAAGCGTTACATGGAAATGCAGATAGGAATGAAAATATACAGGAGGAGCCAAATTTAAGTGAGGATTCGTGGAAAGACGATCCTATTGGAATGCAAAATTTTAATTTTACCAAATCTTCTGGGTTATTAGTAGATATTCCAGGGACTGGTCTTCCATATGATTTTTTTTGCCTTCTTGTAGAAGATATTTTTTTTGAGATGATAGTGCAGGAAACAAATGTTTATGCCGAATCGTTATTTTTATCCGGTGTTGCAGAACATTCACGTATAACTCAATGGAAGCCTGTGTCTGTTAACGAACTTAAAACATTTTTTGGACTTACATTGCATATGGGAACATGGAAAACCAATAGATTCCAGGACTACTGGAATACCGATCCTCTTTTTCAATTGAAATGTTTCCATAATAATATGAGCCGAGATCGTTACTTGCTTATTTTGAGATGTCTACATTTTGCCCGAAATCCAGAAGAGGGTACAATAGAAGATAAAATCTATAAAATTAAACCACTTTTAAATTACTTCAATAGTATAATGGCTGAAATATATCAACCAGGAAAAAAATCTATCCCTTGATGAAAGTATGGTGTTGTGGCGTGGTAGATTATCTTTTCGAATATATATGAAAAGCAAACGTCACAAATACGGACTTAAATTGTATGTGTTGGCAGAACCCAACGGCTTAGCGCTTCGTATGAAATTATATACAGGACGTTATGACTCTGCAGGTGGAAAAGGCCACTCTGAAAAAGTAGTTTTAGAACTAATGCGAGATAAACTTAACGTTGGGCATTCTCTTTTTATAGATAATTTTTATGGAAGTGTTGATTTAGCAAAAACGCTTTTACAAAAACAATACTTTCTGCACAGGAACTTTAATTTCCAAGAGAAAAGGTAACCCTAAAAAAGATTTAGAAGCTAAACTAGCACAAGGACAGACAGTAGGGCAATACAAAGATGGCATTTTAGTAGGAAAGTGGAGAGATAAAAGAGAAGTTATGTACATATCCACGGAATTTAAAATTGATCTTATCGAAACTGAAAACAAAAGAAACCAAATAAAAATAAAACCCCTACCTATGTCCAAATATAATGAGTTTATAAGTGGTGTTGATCGCAAAGATCAAATGTTCGCTTACTATCCATGTGAGCGAAAGACGCTCAGATGGTATAAAAAAATAGGTATTCACATATTTCAAGTTTTGTTGTTAAATGCCTATTATTTGTACAAAAGTTATACTCCGTACACTGGTAGAAAAATGAATTTATATGAATATCGTTTAGAAATTATCAGACATCTCTTAAAAAATTCTGAAACAGTATTGGTTACTCCAGTGTACAAACAACAACAAACAACAGACAAGCACAACATTTCAAAAATTTTAAATGTTGATACTAAAGGTCGGATAAAGAGAAAAAGATGTAAGGTATGTTCAAAGAATAATTTAAGAAAAGACACGATATTTGAGTGCAGCTTCTGTCCTGAAAAACCTGGCCTTTGTGTTGGAAATTGTTTTGTACAGTATCATAATGATAATAATTTGTAATTATTAATATTATTATTGTAATATGTTTTCTATTAAAATTTCCAGTAAATGTTTCTTTTGACAATAATGACTTTCTGCAATTTAAAAATCAAAGACGCACATGTGAGTCAATTAGCATATGGATGAAACATTAATGATCTAGTGCTGGCGACGCCTATGAGCGTCACGCATTAAAAAAGACAAAATTTAGCAAAAACTTTATAAATGTATTCTGCCAGCAAGAAACCAATTGCAGTATATAACGATTTACAAAAAAATACTCTCAGCACCTAGCAGTAGCATATTGTTAAAGCAGGCTTTAAGCATGCGACGTGTTAAAAAGGTATCTTGTGTATTTGTAAGTGCATTTTCATTAACAAAAAATTTGCACAACTTTCAGATATGCTCAAACTATCAAAGTATTCTTTAGGATCTCCCAGGCTAACTCCTTCAGAAGATAATTGGTAGCTTCTAGTTTATTTCTTATATGGATTCATTTTCGTATCTATTGCTTCTTTTTATTAATCACACCAATTTTCTCATCTATTTCTTCTAAAATAACCGTTAAGATTAGCTTATTAAGTCTATTTACTTTACTACGTTGTAGACTGTCCATACTGCAAGACGTAACTCACGTAACTAGACTTTGAAATATTGTCCCCGTAGTATCCTTTGCAAACACTTAAATATACAATAGTGTTCTTCAAAACATAATATGTTATTATTAATATTTTAAAAAATAATTTATTAATATTGCTGGTAATACTTTCAACCACTATTAGTACTCTTTCAGTAGTACTCAAATTACACTTCTAATTATATATACTCACCGTTCCATTCTGACCAAAACCATTCATTTCCGAAGCTTGGCACTGAGAAAACGCCCCAGTGAATAAAAATACCAATTTTGGCTTCATCGTACCAAGATGGAAGAGGTCTTGAATCCAAACTGTCCCAATCTGCTTGGTATTGTGCTTGAGAAGCACATATTAGTGCTAATAAAAACGTTAATAACATCGTTATAAATAGTAACACTAGAAGGTTTATTGATCACGATTGACCATTTATAGCATTACATTATCTCTAAATTTTAACAAACAATACTTTTAATACTTTATCTTTAACAATGTTTTACATAATGAAAGCTAACAATTGAAATCGATTTTGTTAAGATAAGGTAAAATGTTAAGTGGACATATTTAAGTAAAATAAATGAACATATATTTAGAAAATTTATAAATAAAATTAGTAGTTAAGATACGTGTATTCTGTGATTGTCTTTCTTGAATCAATATCTCCTTCCCTTACAGAACCAAAGTTCTATCCTTTCTTTCCTTGAAATATTCTCTGTAGACACTTGCGAGCTCTCACTCTTTCTCTCCTAATTTTACTTTAGATGATTCTTTCATTGTTATTATTCCATATTATTTTAAAGCAGCATTAACAAGAATTGCAGTGGATCTGTCTGAGACTCCTGTTCGGTCACAAGCATGTGCTAAAGAAGAAAGTTTCGTTCTCATCTGAGACGTAGAAGATTTTTCTGAAATATCACTATCACTTTCATGCGGCGATTACACTTTCGTCCAAAATAATGAGCGTCATAAAAGAAGGTATACTTTTTCGTCCAAGTAGTCTTGAATTGTGTTATGAAAATCATTTATTCTTGAAACGTTATGGAGAATTTCGACGTATGGTGGTGAAAAATAGTGCAACGAAAGAGGTGCTCCTCTTATATTCGTGAATAACAATAAATTCAATTTTGCCGAAAAGTTAAAAAGTGGGGAATCTCGCTGGAGATGTTGTACCAAAGGTTGTAACGCTGCTGTCTACACAATTGAGGATGATGTACTAATTTCTAGACAAAACAAATCATTCTCATGAAAGTCTGGAGTCCAACTGCATTCAACAACAGTTTGTAAGAGTAGCAGCTAAACGTAAAGCTGCAGAAGATATAAGTACTCAACCTAGGAAAATTTTACATCGCGTTTTAAGTAAAGAAGAAAATTCCAATTTAACTATTATGAATTTAAAATCAGTAAAACGAAGTATTTATACTATAAGAAGAAAATTACTTCCAGTTTTATCAAAAACGTTAAAAGAAGTACTGGAAGCATTGAAAAAATTAGAGAATCCTATTATCACGTCTAGAAATGAAAACTTTTTATTGGTAAATCATAAGAGTGTAAAAGTGACTATTATAATATCTTGTGAGACAAATCTTAGACATTTATAAAAAGTAGTATTGTGAAACCATCCATGTGAAACCATGGAAGGAAGTTATAAAAATTAGTATTGTGAAACCATCTTCATTCATAGTAATTGACTGTAAAAAAGGCATGTTCAAGTCTTGCACTAATTTTTTGAAGCTTATATACCAATACCGACAAGGTCATCGAATGACATGAATACATGAAGCCTATGTACCAATACACATAAGTGCGCAATACCGACAAGACCAATCAGGATGCCTTTATGTAGATGGTTCTACATCAAAGTTAGTTCATCACCTTTTAAGTTTTTGTGGTAGTTATTACAGCCATGAAATTACCAATAAATTCAAGAAGAAAATGAGGAAGGACCATCAACAAGAGAATAACATTCCCATACAAGAATTAAAAGTTTTGTATGAGACCCCAATTCCAATCTCTCGTGTGAAATACAAAGACCTACAGTTTTTAACTAAATTTCTCATCATTACTGAAGCTAAGATCTTCTACAATAACTTAATGTGGGATGGATGCAACAGCAATGAACAGCATGATAACGTATCCTTGGACTTCATGAACGACAATAATGAGAGGTAAATATGTTTCTACACTACAACTTATGAACTTTTATCTGATTTATTAATACCAGAACAGATTATCAACATTAGTAGATACACTAAAACTGGAACTGGTTTTGTTCCAGAATACTGATCAAACAACCACAGAGTGCTGTTGGAGGCCAAGAGGAACTTTAAATCCAGCATCCATTTTTACTAATACCAAAACATATAGTTCTTTTAGCTTGCTTTAAGAGAGATACTTGCCAGAATATTAAGAGATGGATATCCAGAAGGTAAAAGATCACAAGAGAGCTGGCAGTCAACATAGCAAATACTGCTAAATCACACCGGAAACAACAGACCTTAAGGCCTGACATTTGAACAAGAAAGAGAAGAACGTTTTATGAGTCTAATTTCTATTAAATTAATACATTGTAAACAGGGAGTCGTTAATAATTTAAACAACAAATAATCTCGTTTAAAACAATATTTGAAAATTTTATTATTTATTATAAATATTATTATCAAAATATTAAATATGCAAATGAACAATATTACGTTAAAATTCATACTTTTCTATTATTTTGTACTATCTTGTGAGTAATCGCATTCTACAATAGGTCTAAAATCATAGATAATATTGGGATTCGATACATCATAACAGCAAGCTGGCTCATATCTACCTGAAGGTGCTGATGTTATTTGTTGAACTGGATCTCCTGGTTGCATTTGATATTGATCAATACCAACGGCATCATAACTATCAATACCAGTACTACAAGCTTGGGGACAAAAATCTTGTTCAGGAGGAGGAGGTAGTGTTTCGTCATGATCGATTTCTTCTGCATATTCATAAACCAAATTGTCCGTACATGTTTCTCCAGGTTCTCGAGATGGGTGTAAAGTTGTAAATACTGATTCTTTGTCAGTGCAACCAGGACCCTCAGTTTGAAAATGAACGTCTGGATAACATAAATCGTCCACAGCTAATTCATCATTCCAAATTGGGAGGCTTTGAACTTTTAGATAAGTATCATCTCTGTAATTTGTTACTAATAATGGGGCTCTGTTGTTTAGTTTCAGTGGTATATGAATTATAGTTGTTTCGTCTGCATTAAGTGTTCCTTTTGGTATTATTATTGTTCTTTTTTTGGGTTTATTTTGTTGATTTGCCTTTGCCATTACTTTCTTTTACGAATAATTTTGTATTAAATGTAAATATATTAAATTCTTATATAAACGACATTTATAAACATGTCATTTTAAGACATTAAGCTAGAATTTGACAGTATTAATAGTAAAGTATTAAACAAATTTTAGGTTATACTGGTTTTTTTATTCTTACGTCATTTATAATTATGTTAAAAATCGTATGAAAAAAGCTACTGGTGAAAATACCGATAATGCTTTAGATGCAATAGAAAAGCAGGCAATAGAGGAATAGAAATTAAGTCTTATACCAAAATATGTTTTTTAATTTTTATTTTAAGAACAATATGTTCAACTAAAATTTTGGTTCATTCCTATTAAAGATAAGTTAATAATATTCATAAAATACAAGGTGTTCAGAAAGGCTATACCTTCGAAAACAAGTCGTTAGCAAGCCCTATCCGTGTTGACGTGTTGATACATTAAAGGAATTTCTTCTTCCTAAAGTGCCCTCTCCTCAATGGAGGTTGGCTACTACAATTTTAAACTCTTCTCTATCTTCAGCTGTTCTTATTAACTGTTCAAAATTTAGCCCTGTCCATTGTCGGATGTTTCTGAGCCACGATAGTCTTTTCCTTCCTAGGCCTCTCTTTCCTCGATTTTTCCTTTCACTATAAGTTGGGCATATTGGTACTTATTATTTCTCAGTATGTGGCCTAGTATGATGTTTTTCTAACTTTACTGTGTTAAAAAGTTCTCTTTCCTTGCCTATTCTATGCAGCACTTCTTCGTTTGAGGTATGCGATGTCCATGAAATTTTGAGTATTCTCCGGTAGATCCACATTTCAAAGGCCTCCAATTTATTTACGGTTGATGTTTTAAGGGTCCACGTTTCAACTGCATATAGAAGAGTCGACCAGACGTAGCATTTTGATAAACGTAGTCGAATTTCGAGTTTTATTCGAGAATCACAAAGCAGTTTTTTTATTTTATTCGAAAGATTTTCTGGCCTGTTCTATTCTCGATCTTATTTCTAGATCAGGATTTAGGCTGCTATCGATCCAACATCCCAGGTACTTAAATCTATTGACCTGTTCTAAAATGTGCCCATTTATTGTGCAAGGTTGAGGTACGTTTTGGTTTTTTCGGATTGACATCACTTTGGTTTTTTTAATGTTTATTTTCATACCAAATTGCTCACAGGTCGAGTTGGTCTTGTCGATGAGTCGTTGTAGACCTAAGTCGGAATCCGCAATTAACACTGTATCATCGGCGTATCTGATACTGTTGATATTTACGCCATTCACATTGACTCCATCCTTGGAATCCTCCAATGCTTCTTTAAATAGAAACTCGGAGTAAAGATTAAACAGCAGAGGCGACAGAACACATCCTTGTCTAACTCCCCTCCTAATTTCCTACTTCTGCGGATGTGGAACCTTCGATCCTAACTCTGGCGTTTTGGTTCCAGTACAAGTTTTTTAAGAATTTGATGTCTTTTCCATCTAAACCGACTTCTTGCAAACGTTCTAATAGTAGGTCGTGTCTTACTCTATCAAATGCTTTTTCGAAGTCTATAAAGCATATAAATATATCTTTCTGTTGGTCGTAGCATTTTTGGGCGAGAACTAGTAAACTGAGTTACTAGTTCTCTCGTTCCCATGCCGGCTCTGAATCCAAACTGATCGTCTCCGATGATTGTTTCGCACTTTCTATAGATACGATTATGTACGATTTTTAGTAGGACTTTTACTGCATGACCATAAGGCTTATAAGACGGAACTCATTGCAGTGTTGGGTTTGGCTTTTTTGGTAGTGGGATGAATATTGACTCCAGCCAATCTTGGAGTATTTTACCTGTATCATAAATGCGATTGAATAAAAGAACAAATATTTCGATATTTTCTTCGCTGATTAATTTTAACGTTTCTGGGTATATTCCGTCTGGACCTGGGCTTTTATTTGTTTTGAGATGATTAATTGCATTTATGATTTCAGATTTCAGAATTGTTGGCCCTTCGTTGTTATTTTCCAATCTTGGTTGTTCTCGTATGTCGTGAAGAAGAATTTTCATATATTTTTCCCATTCTTTCAGTTTATTTTCCGTTGATTCTAGCAGTTTGCCATCCGTGCTCAGCATGGTGCGAAAAGTCGTTTTCTTGGTAGTCGATGTAAACTCTTTTACCTTTTTATGTAAATTAAAAAAATCGTGCCTTTGTTGCATTTCAACGCATTTTGTTTCTAGCCATTAAGGGAATTATTCAATTTTTTAAATAGAAAATAAATAAAATGTAATCCCGTTTTAAAAAATCTACAGAATTAACAATTGAATAAATAATAATTGCGATATTTTTAATTATACTATTATTCCCGTCGTGATAGAATTTGACCTTTATGGTAACCTGTACCAAATTTTTTATTATTCTAACATTTATTGGGGGGGGGGGGAGAGGTCAAGTCGCAATTTAATTCCGAAATTTTAAGTTTAAAGGTGAATGGTTTTTTTTTGCTCAATATCTATGCTATTTTCTATTTTTGGACAAAAAATATAAGAACTAAAATTTCTTACTACAAGTGCGATTTCCTACAATTTCTGTTTTACAAATTTTTTCGTGCGGTTGATATTTTTTCCGAATGAAGGCGGGAAATAATTGAGATGGATAGCATAATATTTATGGAATTATCTCATTTATTATTAACTTAACGACAAAATTGTACATAAACTAACATGGACAAAATTAAATTTTATACAATTTTGATTTTTTTCATTTTTTGCTGAAATAGATATTTAAGGTCGTACGCAATCGGTAAAGGCACGAGCGTAAGAATTGGTTGTATAGGAATTGTTGTATCCAATATCTGTACCATTTTAATCTTTTTGGCAAAATGGTACTGTAACGACTATTTTGCTTACCTCAGGGCAAGAACATGGGGTAGAAGATTGGGCAAACAAAATAAATCGAAACAAGTGCGTACGGCACTCAGTTGGTTGTTGGAGAGCTGGGTCGTGGATAAGTTGAAGATATGGGGGTTGGATTGGGGCAACTACAAAAAATGAAATAAAGGGGTCAGTAATCTCTTGGGATAAACAAAATAAAAATAAACAGGAACCATCTCAAGGAATTTAATATAGGGCGCCACTTGAGGTGCCTAATTATACCCATTACAACCACCAATTGTAACTAGGGAAATAATTATAAAACATTAAAAACATATCTTTTTCAAATAGAACTCAAAAAAGGTGTTAGTTAAAAAAAAATAAATAACAACATGGTTTATCTGGGTTCATTATATGGCCAATTTAGATTATCAAAATTTTATGGATATCCTTTTTATGAAAAATATTATTGAATTTAATCTTACATATGGAATATCTTTTATATAAAATAATCAAATTAAAATTGTCTTATAACAACAATGGATTAAAGCAAAATGTCATATGTCAACATAACAACTTGAGATAGATTAAAATTATGACATTTTTATCTACGACAACATAATATAAAACTTTAATTATTACAAATTCTTTTTATATTAATGTAAGCAATTATTAATAATGTCCATATAACTTGGAAAAATTAATATATTAAAAGTTACCTTAATCTTTTTTATAACCACTTAACTTTGAAAAACTGTGCTACTATCTCTGGATTGGAGCTGCAAGGAGCAAAACTCTCAACTGGAACAAAAGGAAACCATTTCCATACTGGAACAAAGATCTGACGTAGATAGAATTGGATCAAATAGGAAATCGATAACAAACTGGTGGGACATCCTATATATTGCTTCAAAATTATACCATATTCTGGTATACTACACAAATTACTTTTTCTTACTGCCACATATTTCCACTAAAGGGGCCAAAACAGAAGAATACAAATTTGACGGAAAAATTTGCGGATCCATACTTGCGATCCACACAGCGAACCAAGTAAGAATCTATTAGGTCACACCTGACTCTACACGCGGCGACCCAAGTACGAATGACGAATTTAAAAATTCGTTCATATAACTTGAAAATAAAACAAAAGCTGACATAACAAAACACAACGAAATCAAAACGTAAAAGATTTTACTTCTACAACGTATAAAAGATTATAATGCGACTTCGAATAAAACATTAAAAGAAATTGCCGAAAAAGTTAAAACAATAAACAACTCTCAAATGGTTTATTTTAACTTGGCCGTCCTAAGAAAGAATTGAAAAGATATTTGGGTTTTAATACGTACGAAATATTCTTAGATTTATCAAACATATATAAGGGGATTTTAATATTTTACATATATGAGGGGATCTGAATATAAAATGCTACAGTACAGACCTAAATTGTTGCAATTGCGATTTCCACCAATTTTTTCTTTGCAAATTTTTTCGTGAAGTCGATAATTCCCGAGTTAGGGTGAAAAAAAGTGACCAAGTATAATTATTTAATTATCTAGTTCATTATTAACTATATGACAGAAATGTACATAAATGAAAAATGGAAGAAAATTGTATGTTATACAATTTTGATTTCTTTGATTTTTTGTGTCGCAATCAATATTTAAGGTATGCCGTATTGCCAGATTCCACTAAGAGCCTAAGTAAGGTATCCATTGAATTCTGATAGGCAACGGTGGGGGAAATCTTTTTTGGACATCTACAATATCGACCGCACGAACAAATTTGTGAAAACGAAATTGTACGAAACCGCATTATTGCAACAATTTTAGTCTGTACCATTTTTGTCAAAAAGTTAAAAATGGTAAATTCAATATGGTGGCTAACGTCACGGCGGAATTTAGTCACGATTTTAAATTTACACTGCTATTGTCCCCCCTATAAAGGCAACAATAAAAAAATTTGGGGTAGCTCGCCACGCAAGTTCAAATACCTTACGACTGGAATAATATTATTATGCCTGTTTTTGATTAATCATGTAGATGTGTAGTATACAGCTGTTGCTTCTGGGACCGAGGCAAAGTAAGTCTAAACTGTCCAGAATGCATTTAGCGACAATCGACAAAAACAGTAATTTTAGATTTTATTAATTTTTATAATTTTATTATTTTGAGAAAAGTTTCCGTGTGCGAAATTAAAACGTCAATTATTGTGGTTTATTCTCAAAATATAAAATATTCAATGTGTTGTAGTACGTCACAAGAAAAGATCTTCATAATCATACTTGTAATTTTCGGATTACTATGTCGTTTTGTTGTAGTTTTTTCATTGATTACGTAGATAGATTTTGTATCCAGGACTATTTAAAAAAAATACCAGACATATTTTACGAAAATGTCAAAATTGTCATGCTGAAAATAATTTCTTTTATATATGCAAATTTTAGTGGAATATAATGATCCCAAGATGAATCCTGAGGAAATAGGTAAATAATTTCTTTCTTTATTTTTCTTATTTATTGTAATATTTATAGATGAAACGGGAGAAACTACTGAGGATGCTGAAGGTGGAGAACAACAACAAAGATTTCGGTAGGTTATGCAAGATACATACACTGAATATAATATTACAGATATAATATGTGATATCAACTATACATTTAATAAATATGTTATAAGCTTTTCATGCGATCAAAAAGGCGATTGAATTATCGGTTTATAATGGCACTTTTTTTATTGTTACATTGCATGTTTACAATCTACTTTATATACAGAGTCTCTTCTTTGTCAACCATTTTCCATCCACTCCTGAATGTAGGTCTCTCCCAATTGCTTCCATCTTTCTCTATCTTGCGCCAATCTAATCCACTGTTTGCCTGCCACTGCTCTTATGTCATCTACCCATCTTTTTGAGGTCTTTCCATGCTTCTTGTTGTCGTCCTTGGTCTCCATTCTAGAATTCTCCGTGTCCACCTGTTGTCATTATATCGGGCTACGTGACCTGCCCAGCGCCATTTCATTTTTGTAATTTCTTCCACAATATCCCTAATCTTCGTTCTACGTCTTATCTCGGTGTTTCTAATCTTGTCTCTTAGTGATATTCCAAGCATGATTCGTTCCATTGCTCTTTGCGTTGTTTCTAATTTTTTTGGCAGATTTTTTGGTAAGTGCTACTGTCTCCAAGCCGTAGGTACAAACTGTAGTATACATGTGTTATACACCTTTTTCTTTAAGTTTATAGGAATGGAGGTGTTTTTCAAGATATGTGCTAGTTTTGGTTTTCCTAGTTTGAAACAGCTAGATATACATAATGTTCCACATTTTCTATGGTATGATTCTGTATTGTTATATTTGTCTGGTCTCGGCTCAGTATTTTTGTTTTGCTGTAGTTCATTTTTAAGCCTACCGCTCCTGAAACTGCACTTAATTGTTGTAAGATATCATTTAGTTCTTGGATATTATCGGCTATTAAAACTATGTCATCTGCGAATCTCAAGTGATTTAAGTATGATCCGTCGACATTGATACCCTTATTGTTCCATTCCAGTTTCTTAAAAATATCTTCTAGAGCAAGGGTAAATAGTTTGGGAGAGATGGTGTCTCCTTGTCTTACTCCCCGTTGTAGTCTTATGGGATTAGTTTTTGTGCTTTCGTCCAGCTTTATATGCATGGTGGCATTTTCATTAATGTTTTAAATTATGTTAATGTATCTTGAATCTATGCGTGCATTTTCTAGAGATTCAAGTACTGCCCATAATTCGATGGAATCGAATGCTTTATGGAAATCGACGAACGCCATATGAATTGGAACATTATACTCGGTGCATTTTTCTATCAGTGTTCTTGCGGTGTGCAATTGGTATATGGTATTAAAATGTTTTCTGAATCCAGCCTGCTCGATAGGTTGATAGAAATCGAGCTCATGTGGTAGGCGGTTGGCTATGATTGTAGTTAGTAATTTATACAGATGTGATAGCAAGGATATTGGTCGGTAATTCTCGATGTTTGCTCTGTTTCCTTTCTTGAATAGTAAAATGACCTCGGAGTTGTACCATTCTTGAGGAATCTTTCCTTCATCAATTACTTAATTAAATAAAACATTTAATACCTGTTTCATTTTTCTGTCACCAATTTTCAACATTTTAACTGTAATCTTATCCTCTCCCGGACATTTATTCGTTTTAAGTTGATTTAGGGCCATTCTTATTTCATAGTCGGTTATGTCCGGTATTTCTTCTGAGCCGGTGTTAATTATTGTTCGTTGAGTACGTCGTTGTTGTGGTTGTGTATTTACCGAGTATAGTTTAGTGTAGAATTTTTCAATGGCCTCGCTTATTTCCTTTCTGTTTCTGACGGTGACGTTTTTTCTCATTTTTTATTTGTATGATTTTTGTTGTGCCGCTTGAGTTTTTTGCTTTGAGTACTTTCATGTTGCAGTTATCTTGTATTATATTTTTTATTAGATTGTTATTATAGTTTCTATGATCGTTCCTGATTTCTTTTTTCACATTTTTGTTTAAACTTTTAAAGCTGTCCGAAGTTCGATCTGTTCTGTTTCGTCGTTCTTGGAGTAGTTTAATTGTATTAGGTTGGAGTTTAGATGTTTTGGCTGCTTTCGTGTTTGAGCATATTTTCTTAACTGATGTTGTTACAGTTACTTTTATTTTAGTGGCTAGTCCGTTTATATCCATTTGTTTCAGTATCTCTATTGATTTTAGTCTTGTGATTAGCTTTTTTTGGTATTCCGTTTGTTTTTGAAATCGGACATCGGCGGTTGGGTATCGTTCTCGTTTAATAAGTTTGCTTCGTTCTACTCTCGTCTGTATTTTAATGTTCGCTCTAACCAATCTATGGTCACTCCCGGTATAGAATTTGTTTAGTACTGTCACGTCGGTGCATATGTTTTTGTTATTGGAGAGTATGTAGTCTATTTCGTTCTTAGTTTTCTTGTCTGGGCTGATCCATGTCCATTTACGTTGTTTAGATTTTTTAAAGAAAGTGTTGAGACAAAATAAATTTTCGTTGTTTAAGTAGTTGTACAACATCTCACCTCTTTCGTTCCTGTTGTCCAGCCCAAAGCGACCAATATATTGTATGTCGCCAACTGGAACCTCTTTATACTGTGACCTGGTGCTGAGAATACAGTTGCAAGATGCTCTGCGAATACTATTGTTTTTTCTGCGTTTGTGCGAGCCCAGGCCATATCTGTTTTTCTTAAAAGTAAATTTGTTATTGTCGGTTTTTCAAACATTTTGTAGCTTTTCATATAAAGTGGTTTTCATGTGACAGGTTCAAAACATAAAACTGGAAAGAGTCTTTTTTTTCTTTATGTAACGCTCTATTTAGTCTATGACTTGTCCTGTTAAGGTACGTTTTATTTAGTGGATTTCTCGTTTGTTGCCATATGCGTCAAGCTCTTCTTTTTTCTGCTACAAATTCTGTTATATGGAGGGGGATATTACGATTTTCTTGCTCACTTTTTTGGCTCTGTGGTATTGCTTCCCATCCCGTTGTTTGTAAAACTGTTATTAAATAGTCTACTGCTTTTTCTACATCTTGGTTTTATTTTTCCTAATATCTAGTCTAATCTTTGTATTTACAAAATTTTGGAAAACATTCCAGTTTGTTTCGTTAGTTGTGAGTTTGTGTAGTGGTGTTATTATGTGTGATAATGGTACTTATTGTACGTATCGCTCCTCACCTTATATGGTCAATGAAAATTTACGATTCGTTATTAAAATATTATTAATCTGCTATTGGTTGATTATCTTAAGAATGGCTTCCATTACTTTGTGAGTAGGAACTCAAATGTATAAATACGGGTGAGTTTCAGGCAATCGGCATCTGTTGATCACCAGACCTTGGTCCGGTGTCAGTCCTTAGCGACCTTCTGGGGCTCCCATGCCGAGAGTCTCCAGCCCTTACAAGCTTACTGCCTCACACTTATCTGTAGCTGGGTTACCATTGTACCTTTGATCTCTGAAGTTTTATTTCTTAACCTCAGCCCATCGCACAGGGGCAAATACAGCCCATATAATCATACCTTACATAGTAAACAGCCTGAAACATGGAAGACGCTAAATAATTCTATACAGTAACGAGCACCCGCGCCACTCATCTCCAAGCCCTGACGTTCAGTAAGTTGTGCGCATCTGCTGTGACTTCGTTCTCCCATCTATTACGTGGTCTTCCCTTTGGTCTTCTGCCCTGCATTTTACCATCCAAGGCCTTTCTCGGCAATCTGTCGGCATCCATCCGTACCACATGACCAGCCCATCGAAGCCTTTGTACTCTAGCGAACTCTGCAATAGGTGCTTCTTTGAACAGTTGGTAGAGTTCATGGTTATATCTAGATCTCCACATCCCATGTTGAGTGATGGGTCCAAAGATCTTCCTTAGGATTTTTCTCTCGCCTTTGTTGGAGGCAGAAATTACAGGAGGCCAAGGCTCAATTTGGGCTGTAGCGCCATTGGAAGAAGAAGAACGAGCACCCAGGGGATACGTATTTACATGTGTATACATATAGTCGACATTAAATTAAGTATTTAAAAACCCCCAAGGTGATAATAGGAATATGGGGAATACCAGGCTTTTAAAGATTCATACTTTGGTGTGAAACATTGTAAGATGATTTTAAAAATCTTGTCATGGCTTACTTGGTCGGTGCAATTCTTTTTATAATTTCTTCACTGTATCCCTTTTAGTTTATTATCAAGGAGCCGGAAGAAGTAAGAGTATTAATCAATTCGATGATATAGATTTTCTTTATATTTAAATTATTTGTATTCTGTCGGTCTACTATAATTATTTTTTTTTTTAATCTGGATACCGACTTTCTAACCTTTTTCCAAACTCGTATTTCTTTTAATTCTTCTTTAGATGCAGCAATGTGGTAGTATCATAAGCGTATTACGGATTATTAATTATGGCGTCATTGATGGTGATATCTCCTTCCCAGTTCTTTAAAACATATCTCACAATCAACTCGCTGTATAAGCGAGAGGCATGGGGCCCAGTACGTACCCCTGTTGCAGAACCTTAACGACAAATAAACACTAAGTACGTTCAGTTTCCACCTTGAACTGATAAATCGGTTGGTACATTGAATTACCTGACTTTTTCTACAATTTGTTTTATTAAAATCTGTTCTCTAGTATCACTGCTAGGTAAAAAGACGACAGTCGGATGTATTGTTCGAGACGTTTTAACATAATCTGCAGCATTACCTTACTGACATATGAAATGAGCGCTATGGTGTCATAATTTTCGCATATATCTTTCGGACCTTTTTTGTGGATATATATATTAATTTAGTCCAGTCCTCAGGTAAGGTTTGATTGCTCCAAGTTAGATAACATATTTTATGCAAAATATCATGGCTGCATCTCCTGCATCTTTTTTTTTATTTTTTGGATAAAAATTTTTATTTTTATTTATTTATGATGTGGTATTAAACAATACACAACACTTAATTTTTACCCTTCTATCACCAACACATATTTTATAATAGCCATATTAATGTCAAAGATTTAGTTCACGTACTACTTCGAAACGGCTTTACCGATTTTTATGAAATTTTTTATGTATTTTCTGTTAAATATACCACTATGAATTTTCTTCGAGGGAAATTGTTTTTGTAAAAATCAGTTGACACAGTTATAAATCAGGATGACGTAGTCCACTATCTTACAGAATTTTTGAATTCATTGAATTGCCTGGACTGCCAACTAACAATTTACAATTTCAAGTAGGATCAGTTGGCATTATGCTGCGCCACATTAATTACCCTCGACTGTGTAATGAAACAAAACTGACTGTGAAAACGCTAATGAATAATATCGTTGAGATAACGATCTTTAAGGAAAAATGAAAACAAATGAAAGGATGTCTTGATCCCGCGTATACCAATAATTCCAACTATTATCATCATCCAGCCTTCATTTATCATGTTTACTGCTGGACATAGGCCTTCCTTAAACTTCTCAATTCTTTATGATTTTGTGCTCTTTATTGCCAATTTTTGGTGATACGCCTGATGTCATCGGCCCAACATGTAGGTTGTCTTCCTCTACTACGTTTGTCTGCTCTTGGCCTCCAATTTGTAGTTTTGCTCGTCCTTCGTGAATCTTCTATTCTTGCTACATGACCTGTCCAGTTCCATTTCAGTTCTGCTATGTGTTCGAAAACATCAGAAATATTCGTCCTTCGCAGACGTTCAGTTACGCAACGTCACTCTCAGCATAGATCGTTTCATTCGTCTCTGTGCCACTCTTAATTTCCATAGCCTTAGTCTTGGTTAGAGTTATAGTTTCCGCCCCCTACGTCTTGACTGGTTATACGCATTGGTCAAATACTTTTCTTTTGAGGCTAAACTATTTGAGGCCAACTAACATACTATTTGTTTTTAATTGTTTACAATTTTCCGTGATTTTGGCTTTTGCAATGACAATAAATAAATCACAAAGTCAACCGTTGGAATTTCTAGGAATTAACTTATATTTTCCATGTTTGGTGCGTGAAAAAACTATTCTCGTGTCGGAAAACCGTCATCATATTAGGCAATGCAAAAAAAAATAAAAATATTGTTTATTAGAAAGCTTTAAATTGATTCATTGCATTCATAAATTATTGTGTCTTTTAGTTTAATTTTCTGTTAATTTTGTTAATCAATGTGTTGTGTAAATAAACGTTGATTTGTATTTACAGTATTCAGCGTGTTTTAATAAAACCAGGAAAATCTTTAGCTGTACATGGAGATGAAAATTTAGCAAACAGACTTCCACATATACCTGAGGATCCTAGAGAGTATACTCCAATGCCTTATGTCTTTAGGTAAAAAAAGTAATTTTAATAACTTATTATTTTTCTGATATTTATAACTAATAATTTTATTTCAATAACAATATATAAAAACAAATTAATAACACCAACCTAAACGAAAAAAAAAAAGATCACCGTCGACTTTATGTGTGTTCCATCGCATTCCGGTAAAAAAAGGAAATGAAGAAGCACATTAACTACTCCGCTCAGCATCCTTCAGCTATTACTCTATTCACAATAACGAGGTTTCTTCTTATGATTTGAAATCTGAAATCAAGCCTAAAGTGTTCAGTGCGTGGCAAAACATGTGAAGTTCATCACAAAATAAATTAAGGAAATTAAACAATTAGTGAAACCGTAACTCCAACCATTATCGAACAGACCACACCAAGTAAGAATAACGCGATTGCGGCTGAGACACAATAACTTAATTCAAAAACACCGCTTTTTGGATTAAGTCACACTTTTGGCGAACAGAGTTACCAATGTGCGAAAATTGCCAAACAGCTCTTTCCGTGAAACATATTTTTACTTAGTGTAAACTATACGAACTTCAAGAAAAAAGCATAACATCTCAATGAATATAAAGGAGACTTTAGAAGAAAACATAAATGTTAAAACTATGGACTACATCATTATTTAGAGATGCTGTCAATTAAAACACGATAGCGAATATGGTAGCCAACATGATCCATAATGGTCAAGGAACTAGAAGAAGCAAAAGTATGTGACAGAGACGTCTATATATACAGTCTTCTCTAAGGTAGCTCAAACCAAGTAGTAGTATAATTTGTTTTGAATTCTATAGGCCTTTCTCTGCTTTCGTTCTAGTTCTAGTTCGAGCTATCCTCCTGTATTTTTAATCATATCTACTCTAATTTTTGCGTCAAGGTCTCCTAAAAGGTAGGTACATCGTATTTCTAGACTTTGTTAGTTTGAATGTATTATGTAAGTCTGAATAACATTTCTATTAGCACTAATTTTCCAATTGAGATCTTATGATCTGAGATCATATGATCAATAATACGTTATATCAATGGTTTGATTTGTCTCATCAACTGCAGTATATCTTGTTGTTATTTATTGATATCTCTCCATTTCCTGACCACTGTACATCACTAACAATTAGTATCTATATTTAGCCTACCTTTCTCTTTGATAACATTCTGCAGTTTTCCATACTGATACATACTTCTTATATTCTTACATTTCAGGTAGCTATTTTCATCTGAATGGATCGAGTAGTTTTTGGCTTTTGTGTGTAATGGTTTTACATGTTGACGACCGAGGAAGCCTTGTGTTCTAATGGTTGTCCTCACCTCTCGGATTTTATTCTCCAGTTACCAGAATAAAAAGCATCTCTTGCGTAACTAGTGCTAGCGATTATAATTTGTACTCTTTGGGCATGGCCATACCAATAAGCTGTTCTGTATTATAGCCTCATACATTTTAGTATTGGATTGTTATATAGTTATATATTGTTATATATTAGATAGATATATTAGATATTTGCAATGAACGTTCTCTCACAGAGATGCTTAGACAAGAACCAAGAAATTTAAGCCTGCTTTATTGATTTCGAAAAGGCCTTTGACAAAGTACAACATGAACCACTAAGACAAGTTCTAATAAAGAAAAATATAGACAGCCGAGATATATCGAATTATATGCAATCTATATTGGAATCAAACAGCAAATGTCAAGGTTGAGGGCAAACTAACAGAAGAAATTCAAATCCGTCGAGGAGTCCGGCAGGGATGTATCTTATCGCCACTTTTATTTAATCTGTATAGTGAAGCTATCTGTGAACAAGCACTCGAGGAAGAAGATCTTGGTCTGATAATAAATGGTGAGACGATCAACAATATAAGGTATGCTGACGATACAGTTCTCCTAACGGGAACGCTAGTAGAACTACAACATCTCGTTCAAAGGCTTCAATAAAAACTGTAACAGTTACGGCTTGAAAAATAATTTGAAAAAAAACTAAATTTATGGTAATCACGAAATCAAAGAACATCAGAGCTTATCTTGTAATAGACAATACAACGATTGAGCGTGTGCCCTGTTATACATATCTAGGTGCTTGGATCACAGACGATACTGATCAAACAAAAGAGATTAGATCTAGAATAGAAATCGCTAGATCAGTCTTTAGTAGAATGCGCAAACTCTTTTGCAATCGTGATATCAATATAAAGTTACGAATACGAATGCTGCGGTGTTATGTCTTTTCTACCCTGTTATATGGAGTTGAGGCTTGGACACTAAAACAGTTGACCATAAAAAACATCGAAGCTTTCGAGATGTGGTGCTATAGGCGCATTCTCAGAATATCACGGATGGACCGCGTCACTAACACGCAAGTACTCCAAACTTTAGACAAAAGATGCGAAATTCTAAATGAGATAAAAACTAGAAAGATGGAATACTTGGGGCACATTGTGAGAGGTGAAAAGTACGAACTTTTAAGAAACATCGTTCAGGGCAAAATTAAGGGCAAAAGAAATGTGGGAAGAAGAAAAATATCGTGGCTTCGTAATCTATGTGAACGGTTCGGGTGTAGTTCGATTGAACTTTTTAGGCGCGCTGCTAACAAAGTCGCAGTGGCCATGATGATTTCCAATCTCCTCCGTAGTAGTGGCACGAGAAAAAGAAGAAGAATATTAGATAGTTAGTTTATTGGTAAAATAACTTTAATAATATGAATGTACGCATATATATATATATTATAGATAATAAAATTTTATTTCATTTGTTTGATAGGGTACCGACAACTTCAATTCCAACAAAAATAATTAATTTATTGGCACGAAGTCCTCCTTTTCATCTGCTGTTAGACCATACAATTGCCGTCATATGGCTACTTTTTGGGCAAGGAGAATATGACAGTCCTTTAGGTAAGTTCGAACATATAAGGTGTAACAAAAGGTATGCTGTAAATTAAGCCACACATTCTGAGATATTTTTGAGACATTGTGTCCGTAGTCATATAAACCCAAACAAACCACAAATACTACATTAAATACAACACTACATCGAACTAACAGATATTTACTTAATTTAACTGATCAAGCAAGTTAAAATTAATTTAAATTTTAAATATAATTTTATCAACGCGTGTATGTCGAGTTCATGATAACGGTGAAGTGGATATTAATGTAGTTAGTATGAAAATTTTATCAAAACAATGTACTCTTAGACATATAATCTGCAAATATATGTAAATATTGTTTTGAATTATAATAGAATTAAATTAAAAAAACTTAGTTATCTGATCATT